GGGCCATCATCATAGTTTTTCAAGTGTTTCTTTTCATCTGTGGCTTGCTTTTAATTGTCATGAGTGCGTTTCCCAGGGGAAATTTTTAAAATTTTGAGTCCAATCAGCATTTGTGTACTTCATGCTTCTTGTGTTTGCTTCCTTCATTTCTCCCTTAGCACTGCAGCTGCATTTGTTTTATTCCTTGCCCCAGAGTGCATTGCTGCCACCTTCACTGTGTTCAGGTTCCTATTCTTCCACTCATTTTCACCAGGAATAGTTTATGCTGTGCACCCCTTAAGTTCACTTATTTTTTCTTCAGTCACAATGACAGTTGCACTCCTGTACTTACATGTCTCCTGGTTCTATCCTGGTGACAAGGTACCCAGGCTGAATATTATCTAGAGATTTTTCAGGTCAGGAGGAGAATCTAAATTAACTGTCATAAAAGGCATTGGAAGGGTTTAGACCAAATACCTTTTAATGCAGTATTTCTGGTAAAAAGAAAAGAAACTACAGGTAATTTCACAGTAAATAGGAGAAGATATTTATAATTTTTCATAATTTATTTTATTTTAGAAGTTTATCAATCTATTCAACTTTACTCTGTCTATAGGTACATTATTCTCTGCAGTACATTAAATTATATGCAGAGTCAATATAGTGGACTTTAGAAATGAGAATTCTTTGGATCTTGTGTTCATGGGTACAGTACAATCTTTTGAGGGAAAACAAGGAATGTTATTGATATATCCAGGGGCTGAAGATTGTCTGTTAAATTTTATTGTATTTTGTACATTAACTCATTCAGTCAGTCATATTTATTATGGATGTACTATATAACGGATATTAGAGGAGCTGCAGACTCAGTAGGTAAAAAGAAAGATGAGAAATATCTTTCCTATGGAGATGTAATTCTAAGTACAATTAGGCTCAATAAATGAAATAAAAAAATAATATAGGATATTAAAACATAAATTCAATTTTATGTCTTTTCAAATCAGAGGCACTCTTCTGGAAGATAATAGTTACTGTCAAACTGGACAGCTATGTCTCTTACCCTGATAGAGCTAAAATTTCTTTCACTTCTGAATAATTGTCCATGAACTTATAGTAAACCAGGGCTGTTGGTGATCTATCTGAGCTTTAATCTATATGTTTCTTTCTTGACTTCCTGAACTGGGCTAAGTACAATAAAAATGTATTCTCTTCTCACCATTGTTGGAAAAATTATCCTTCATATCTATTTACCAGGACATTTTTCTAAAATAACTGTTTTTAGTAATTGGATTAACAATACTTTTCCAATATTCAAAATCTTTTATTTCTTTTTAAATTATTTCATAATTTAATTATGAAAAATTAAAATTTCATAGCAAAATAATGAGAGTAACAATAGTTAATGCACTGTGCATTATTGTCTGCAAAGTAATCATTCAGAGTATAAAATATAAACTAAAAAGGTAAAAACGGGGGCTGGGGATTTAGCTCAGCGGCAAAGCACCTGCCTGGCAAGCGCAAGATCGTGAGTTCGGTTCCCGGTACCGGAGAAAAACCAAACCAAAAAAATAAAAAAAATAAAAAGGCAAAAACGGAAGAAAATAGTAACATAAAACATTCTTTTCAACCAAGATAAATTCCTATTTTGTGTTTAATTAATGCTAGATATATAGATAGATAGAGAGAGACAGACAGACAGACAGAGAGACAGAGAGAGATTTACTAAAGTAAGGAATTGGTTGAAACAATCATGGGGCTTGACAAATCAGAAAGTTGTAGAGCAGGTCAGGAGGGTGGGAACTGAGTGAAGAGCTGATGTTTCTCTCAAGCAGGCTGGAGATAGAATTTTATTCTCTCCAAGAAACTGGAGCTTTTGCTCTTAAAACTTTCACCTGATTTAACAAGGCCTACCCATTCTAGTGGGAGTAATATATTTTACTTAATTAAAGTCAACTGATTGCAGATTTTAACAACTATAGAATAAATGTGGCTCACACCAATACCTAGATTTGTGTTTGATTAAATAGCTGTTATCACAGCCCAATGGTTGAACTAATTATCATAGCCACTGAAATAATAAACGTATGCAATTTGGTCTCTATTTAGCTTGTTAAATTCTCAATAGAAATATACACTATATTCTGAGCTTTAGTCAAATTTTTTAAATAAAACATACATACTTGTCTATGAAACCAAATGCAATTATTAACACTTACATAAAATTGGTAAAATATAAGGAAATTAAACCATTAAGTGTAATTTGTTTTAAGTACAAAAATTATTGCACTTTACTTGTGTTATTTATAAACAATACTAAGAGTGGATAACTGACCTATGTTAAGAGAATACAGAAAATATCTGTTTTGAGAAGACTTTTTATATCTGAATAAGTTTCTGCAAATGTTCAATTGTCTACAGTTGGAAGCTCAAACACACAGATAAGTATGCTTAAGTTATTCTGTTCACATTATTCTCTTTGCTGTAGTTTACATGTGGTGGCAATTATGTGTCATATGAAGTCACAGATTTAATGTACATTTATTAACCTCATTCTGTAGGACTTATGATCTGAAACAACACCAGCAAACAAGAGTTTGATATTTCTTCTGAAAATTGGTTTTTTTTTTTTAAATCAAAATTATCTTCAGAAATCTAGGGCTTATAATTACTAATATTGAGAGAGAGGAAAATGAGTACATGATACATATCTTATTGTTTATGGATTTTCATGACTTTTATTTGAGTTGTGGTTGTTCTTAAAGACTTAAGAGAGGGATATAAGAGATTGTTAAAAATAAACAAGGAATGAAGATATACTGTAGCTCAGGGATGAAATGCTAACCTAGCATGAGTGAGGTCATGGGTTCTGTCCCTAGTACCACCAAACAAGAAAAGAAATCTCTGCCCAGTAAGTTGGTAGGTTTTTTTATTTGTTTGTTTTGCCTGTTATTGCTTTGGGGGGGAATTTTGGAGGCATTCTGTGGCCTTATGTTCTAATGTTTCCATTGTTTTCTTTTCTTTTTGAGCTTATGCTTGCAGGTTGTTTACCATGGAGAGCTTTGCTGTTAGTATGGAAACTTCTTTTACTCAAGTCTGCTCTTCAATGATGCTCTCTGCAGGTGGCTAACTACTGGCCTTTGCCTCTAATGCAGGATCCAGTCAACTTCATTTATTTGGGAGGGCTGACTGTAGCCTATTTGATCCAGTATCCAATAATGTGAGAACCAGGTACACTACTTTTAATGCCACAAAGGCAATCCTGACACTGGCATGCAGAGAGAACCAATTATTCCAACAACTATGTCACCTTGGCTATAATAATAAAATGAGTAACAATAACAACATCAAACTCAAACTGGATATTGACATATCCTAAAAATCAATAATGTACCACATTTAACCCTAGAAAAGAGCTCTGTAATTATTTTATAAGCTCTAATCAAGCTAAATATTGACCTGCAATAAATATCTCATAAATGGAACTATTTCACCTCCACTAAAAATAAAACAGTATTCAAGAAAAATAGCACTGAGTCAACTAGTCATCTAAAAATTCATAAAGCTTTACAGTTATACTAGAAAACATAGCAGGGTAGGGAACTGTAGAATAAAAGAAGGAAAATTTGGAATATTTATCAATGGAAAATGAGAAGGAGAGGAGAAAATGTGAATTTGTTGAGGGGTAAAATGTAACAGTAAACAAAGACATAAAAAAGAGGAAATAGCCAGGTATGGTGGTATAGGCTTGTAATCCCAGCACAGAAGGCTGAGGCAGAAGGATGGGGAAAGAGTTCCAGGCCAGCCTAAATTACATAATGAAACTTTGTGTCAAATAAATAAACAAATAAATAGGACATAAAAGAAAAATAAGAGGGAAGAAAAAAATCAAAAGTGGAAAAGAAAAAAGGATAAAAAGGAAAAGAAAGGAAGAAGAAAGCCTCAGGTCTCAAATACCTCCTCTGCCTAAGCATTGTTTCCCCAGTGACTGGCAGTCAGTCCATAACTCCCTGCTCCAAGAGAAGTGGGACCCAAGCATGAGCCCTGAGCGGTGGAGGCAGCAGCAGGCAGGGCCCAGTCTGGAGCCAGGGGTTGGAATTTTTTTAATTATAAGACTCTTCTTGAGAAGGGCTTTACTCTCCATGCTGATAACCTCCATTTTCAGATTATACAGGTATTCCAACCAAAAATGAGATGAAGACATGCATTGCTACAACTACGTAAGTAACTAGTTTCCCATTCCATACTCAGGTGGGATAAGCAGGAAGGAGACCATGGACAAAGATCTGGTGGACTCCTTGCTGTGACTCCCCCCAGAGCAAATTACAGCATCAGCCTGGAGTAGACCCTCAGGAAGAGAGCCAGGATCCTGCTGGCAGTCAGAGCAGAGTACAGACTATGCACACGAGAATGCAAGCAGACCAGGGTGCTGTGCAGGGTGAGGTGAAGCTGGGGACTGGGCTGCAGCCACACAACATCTGCATTAATGTGGAGAGGGACCACCTGGAACTCAGGACCTTGCTATGGCCCAGGACTGTCTTGCTCACTCTTCCATAGCAGCTCTGAGTAAGGAGTGAAAGAGCAGCCAACCAGGAAAGAGCAGGTCTGCACTTCAGGGTTTTGTAACACAACAGACAAAGGGTGGGAACCCCTCAGTGAGAGACCATTTAGATGCCCACCTGGCCATGACTCTCCTGGGGACTTGGGTTCAATTTAGTTAAGGAGGGTGTAAGGCCTCTGTTATGTCATATGCTGATCACCACAGAACCATAGGTGAAGCCCCAGTCAGCCACTGAGATGAGGGCCTCCCAGTCTCCGTGCACAGATGGAGCAGCCTATTGTTTATGCTGTCCACTCCACTCACTCACACATTCACTCAACAGGCACTCAGGTTAAAATATTCCAACCCCCTTCCCTCCAGAATGATCCAGACTATCAATAATTGATCAGATGACTCTTCTGCTGGAGCTAAGCAGAACTGACAAGCAGACTAACTGGGGTGACCCTGGGGGTCTTACCAGAATCAGGCAAGCAGGCAGACAGGTAGACAGACTGTTTCCTCCTTTCTTTCAGGTCCAATGTGAGCCACTCATCAGGGAGCCAAGAATCCTCCTCAAGACCTCTGTGAGTACTTGAAAACTCTGAAAGTTCCTCCTCCCTGTGGGGACCTGGAGAGGTCCTTGCTTCATCTACAAGGGCTACAACCAGTAACCAAAACGGTCAGCACAGTCAGTCTTCCCAGCTGATGCAACAGATGCACCAGCAAGCAGAAACACCAAAACAATACCCAGGATTTGGAGGTAGAATTATTTAACAGAGAAGCACTAACAAGGAACCAAGCCTTATAAAAATGTCAGGGCCTGAAGGCTCAGGGAGAGAGGTTTCTATGGGGTTGGTTCAAAGGGGAAGCACAGAAGCAGAGCACTTGGCTGTTTGATTGGTTCTTAAAACGTGTATCATAGTGACCAGCTAAACATCACAGTAACCAGCTATTTCTAAGAGACAGAGGCAACTGGAACTGCAACAGGAACTGTCACCTGGGTAACTGAGATATACTGGCTGAGGGATCACTTTCTGCTATAAAATGTTCAACAATTTATAGTTTGAATGTTTAGAAAATTATATTTTAATTCATCTTCTGATATATTCAATTATACCTTACCATACTTATCTCAACGTTCATTCTCATAGATTTTCTTTTGAAATAGAAGATACATCAGAGGAAACTACAATCCTACTACACAAATTTATTGCAGAGAAACTACCAAGCTTCAGAGTTAAACTAAAAAATATTAGAGCACAGAAAATGACCTTCAGATAATCATTTCAGTATTTGAAAACTACAGTTTCAATACATTAGCCAATCAGATCTCACTGGCCCATGTGCAAAATTGCAGTCAGTCTGCTTAAGATGTTTATGTGTGTGTAAAAGTTTAAAGCATCAAAAGAAGCACTTAAGTTTCAAATACTTCTGTATTAAAATAAAAGAATCAAAAATATAAAGGAAGACTGCACAGCTCAGCATAATGTCAGTACTTTAATTTAATTCCAGGATGGATCCAAATTAAGAAGCATCAGACATTTGAGAGCAATGATAAGAATAACAGTGATGAACCAAAATGAGCACACAGAATGAATGACCTGAAAAGGAACAGACACATAGTCCAGGCAAAAAATGGAATATTAAAAATTTCAAACTAGTATCATTTGAGAAATGTAAGAAAACATTACATCTTTAAGAAATCAACAAACTCTTATGAAAGACCAATAAAAGAATGAAATGAGCTCCTACAAACAAACAAAAATGATAAAAATCAGTATAAAAGATTATGTGAACAGCCTAAATAATAGAATAATATATAAGCAAAGGCAAATGTAACAGAAAAGGTTAGACACTTTGAGACAAGACACTAGATTCATCTAATTAAAGGAAAAGAAAAATAGAGTAAGATCAAGGAGGAAAAATATAGCCCCCAAAACAAAAAACTTGAAAAATTATATTGTGTATTTATTTTCATATGTAGAGGATCAATCCAGTGCTAAGAAAATAGTATTTCTAATGAAATTATGAGGAAAAAATAAGCTATTCTTTTTTTTGTACTTGGACTAGAACTCAGGACCTTGTGCTTGCCAGACAGGCATTTGTGCCACTGAGCTATATTTCTAGCCCAAAAGTAAGTTATTCTTAATCAAAAGACAATCAGACAAAAATTAAACTTCCTACATTGGTTATGAATATTAGTATATTGTGTTACATGCTGTGTAGTTTGAAATATTTAATCTCCATATAAAATTATCTATGCTACATTTCATATATATATATATATAGAGAGAGAGAGAGAAATACAATGTATATATGTGTTTATCTCTGTATACACATACCTATATATCTGAGGAGATATTGTAATTAGCAATTTTATGTAATGTAAAATGTAAAATAATAGATTTGTTAAAAAATAATAATGAATATAACCTAGAAAAAATTGACCTAAATATCCATTAATCCCTAACATCTAAAACATTTTTACACATAGCAGCATAAATTCTATGAAATGAGATCAGTTCTGTCCCTGTGGGTGTAATCCAGAGGATTTGGTTCACAAAATTTGATTCTGTGGTGAGTAATGCATGATAGTTGAAGCAGTTGCTGGTTTGTCACAGGCAGTTTTACATACGTAAACCTTTGATGTCCCATCGGCGAATGACCACCGGCCTATGAGTGTGACAAGAGTTTATGCTCAAAGTAAAGAGCTAACACACATGGTGCGGCCTTGCTCTAGATTCCTCAGGATCTTAGTGAAAATGTCCTACTGGAACTTTTAAGAGAAAAACAAAATTTCCCTCTGTTACCTTTTCCAACCAGCAGGGTTGAAGACAGCAAAACATATACTGTAACATGCAGGCAACTTAGAGTACGTGTTCCAAATTTAGAAAATACTAAGTGTCTGAGTTGATACTCAGTTTCCTGTGAGATAGTCTTGCCTATCTCCAGCCTGGACCAGCTATTTAATCTTTTCTGCTGTGAATCCCATTAAAACCTGGTAGCCATCCATGTAAAATCAATTATAGTAATACTTTTATCTGTAGAATATACCAGAAAAGAGTACCAAGCACTAGTTTTCTCTCCTACTGGGAAAAGGTATGAGATGTACTAACTACCTCTTCATTTTAATGTGATGACAGCATTGCTAAACCAATGCACTTCTAAAAATGAAATTAATGAACATTTGTAGTGCTTATTTTCCTCTATCTTGGTGTGCTTATAACACATCCCAAGTGCTTGCATTCATTGCTCATAGGACTTATTGGTATGATTTCATGAGCACAGTGAACCAATATGCTCCTTCTCAGAATCTCCCTGTGGACTGCATAATGACAGAGTGCAAAAGAGTGAGGATTATGCTGCAACTAAGTATTTAATATCCAACACTACATTCAGGATTCCAACAAATGTTCACTCAACAGGACTGTAGATCGAGGGGTTATACTCTGAGGTGAACTATCACCATGACTTAATTCGTTATTTAACCTGTTTATGCCTGTGCTCTGTAGAAGCTAGGGTGGTGCTTTGAGTCTCTCTATGTAAGTCAGCTCTGACACTTTCCCAATTATATTACATATATGTTTAAAATTTTTGCATGTTATACGTTTTGGCATCTTAAACTTAATTAATTGATCAAATCTTGTTGGCTGAGAAGAGATTACATTTCTCAAGATGGGCCAATTCTTAGACCCAGCAAAAGACTCAGCAGGAGCTTGTTTTTGAGATTTAAACAAGTCCAGAATCAAAGATCTGCTATTTGGCCCATAAATCCCAGGAGGTGATATTGTTCTCAATATGTAATTTCAGGGTTGAGTGTTGTGACTCACACCTGGCACTTCCTTTGCTAACCTGCATGGCATGTGGTCATCCTCTGAGGATAATGTCCTTAATTTCTGGTGCTGCTCCTATGTCTCCTCTTGTGGCTAGATCTGACTGACCATCATGTAAAAGAACACAGAACACCAGCATCTAAGTCTTACTGAAGAAGTAATGAATAAATTGTGTATGTGTGTGTAGTGTAGATACCAAGACAGATAGACAGACAGACAGATAAATAGATTTCAGTCACTGGCCAAGTGTGAAAGGTAAAATAGAGGAAGGCAGAGATTTCCATCTGAAAGGACCACGCAAAGTCCTCCAGAAAGAAGAGATTCATAGTTGTACTACCTAATACCTCTAGCAGCTAGAAAGTCAGTACATTATCCTATAAAAGGACTTCGGCTGTATATTTGCCTAATGCTTATTTCCTAAATCATCATGTCATAGAAAAAGCAGGGCTCAGGAGATGAGCAAATGCCCTGCTTAGCATTTATCTAATTCAGTGTAACAGATACTATATTGCCATGTTTCTGTCTACAATTTTATGGGCGCTCATGTGCACATGCTTCAAACTTAAAAAAAGACCAGTGCTTGGCTACAATCTACTAATGGCATGTTTATCAAATGTGACATGCTTATTTCAAAGAGTACACCAGAATTATGGCAGCTATAAGTTAAAGTGCTGGTGGTTGCCACTGCATATTTTTATTACTGTCATTCAAATAATTCATAATATAAATAATTTAAATTATACTGCAGTCCAGCATTTACCATTCATCTGAAACTTTATGCCAAGTTAAAGACAACCAAAAACACTCGAAACATTCTCTAATAGGACAGTGTAGAGGTAGGAACATCAGCTCTAGCACCATTAAAGTCAACATTCTGAGCCTCCATGCAAGTGTTGCATAACAGGCCTTGCGGTCCTCTGTGTATGTGTATGAACTCCACTTTGCTCATTTCTGCATAACATGCATAGATGTTCCCCTCCCTTTGTCTCTCTGCTTCCTTCAGAATAAAAATTGCCTATGTGGTGTGCATTCTTAGACTCTGTCCCCTTGTGTCACTCATTAAGCAGTGGCCAAATTCCTTCCTTCTGTGCTGTATCACGTTGACATTTTTGCTCTGTCAGTGTGCACGAGCCCTAACAGGACCTGCTGTACAGAATAGTGAATATGCCTGCAGTTACAGACAGAGCACACCTCTCCTTGGGAAATGGTGCGCAACCTGGATTGAAGTGTAGAGGCCACATCAAATATCAAATAATCAATATTTTATTTTCCTCTCCTAAATGAACATCACTGGGAAAATGTCTGATCCCTGAGGAAACACTGAATGAAACACTGTAGACTCTTCAGTCTTCCTGCAACCCAGGATCCAAAGCACTTACAGATTAGAAAGTAAATAAGCATATAGTGTGTGCTAATTCTTTCCTTATGAATAGTTATTTGTCTGCTCACTACTTAATGAAGTTATGGACTGTGGCCTTTCTGGGAAAGTACAGTAATTAGGAATCAATTACACTTTACATTGAAACACTGGTTACTCTGCCACTGCGGGATAATTGGGAAATAACTATATTGTGATTTTTATGTACTTTGGTTACATTAAATCACAACATTTCTGTGGTGACACACTGGCAAATTACATATGCATTTGTTCATATTAGGCTGTGGAATATGAAGACAGTGTGAAAAAACTGCTCTCTTAGGATGAACTCCAGAGATAAAGTGTAAGTTCCAGCAACTATGCAAAGATATTGAGGGCTTCTCAATTAATTTTCACTCTCAATGCAATTAGTGCTACTTAATAGAATGTGGTGTAATGTTGGGAAGTGGATTTAAATGCCCTGCTGGTTTCATGATTCTGTGTGTGAATGAATGTGAGTGTGTGTATCTGTACATGTGTGTTTCTAATTTGACTACCAAAAGGGACTAAAAATTCCAGATTAAGGATGTTTTAAAAAGAAAAATTTTTAAGATACAAATGCTTAAAAATAATACATCCAAATAAATAATTGTAAGTGGTAATAAATTAGTTTCAGCTGCCCTAAAGAAATTTTAGTTGAAGTTGTTCACAGAGAAATAACTCTCTGCCTGTTATATAATTGAAAAACACAGTATTATGGTATTGGAAAAACAATTTCATTTTGTTTGTTTGTTGTGCTCAATTTATTTCTGGCATCAATGCTGCTAACCATGTCTCCCAGGGCTTAGAGGGAAAACGTGGTAAAAAACACTGAGCCAGGAACTTAGCAGAAGATTCTAATAAGGATGTAAGCAACACTCTTGCATTTGGAGTGAACATGTTGCTTACTTTCTAAAAACAAAATGCAGGAGCTCTGAAGAGTTCACAGGATGAGCATGTAGGTCCTTGTTTAGAGAGTTTTTGTCTCAACTGTTGGTAAATGAGGTCAATTTGACAGGGAGATATATCGTTCTTTCCTTTATCCTTTTCCTTCTCCAATTTTCTCATTTTTTTAACTTTAAAAATATTTCAGTTTGGTAAGCTGGAGATTTCAGATCCTCGTCACATTTGACAGATTTAAAAACGTGGCATTAAAATTTTCCTTACTTATAAATTTGTCATGTAGGTAATACTCAGCTAAACGTTTGGTATTTTTTCCCCATCTGCCCACAGCTAATCCTGCTACCCTTTCTACTGGTGAAAATCATCCTTGATTGTAACATCTTCATTGGAGAAACCCATATACTATGATGAAGAGTGACTCCTCAAGACAAGCCAGTCTCTCAAAGCATTTGGGCCTCAATATTTCATGAAAAGTACTGTTCAGATATAAACATATCCCAAATCGTACTTTTCAATGCAATGTGTACTTGCCTCCTTTGGTTAAGGAATTCTATGCAATAGCGAGGGTTGTGGTCCTTAAAATAAATTGAAAGCATTGTTCCAGAGCTGCATTCTACTCATATCAACCTTATTATCTTTATTCCAAATAGCCCACCAAATGAGGCGGTGCAAATACCCTATAAACATCAACTATTCTAAAAGCCTAGTACATTTGATCACTGATTATGCAATTACTTAAAAGGGGGAATCTGAGAACAAAGCAAAAGTAATTAAGTACAGAAGGTTAGGTTTGTTTTTTAATTATAAGCAAACTAAATTAAGTAAAACACAGAGTTATCACTGTGAAGTAAAGAATGTAACAGGAATTGTCTCACATGTGACTCCATAAAGCATTACTTAGTAGTCAACTAACTTGCATCATTTAACAATAGAAAATTAAGACAATGGACCCAAATGTATTTTTCTCCTCCTGCAGTGCAATTTGATTCTTTTTGTTTCATTAGTGTAATTGTAAATTTAAATGGAACCTATGATGAAAGAAATGAATTTATTTTTAAAAGCCTTTTGCTAGAAAAAAATTTAACAGTGGATGAGCTATGCTACATTTATTTATACTATGTGTTTGAGCATCAAGCTCAAGTAAAAATAGAACATTTTGAAGACAGAGAAGAATAGTAACAGTAGAATCAATACACTCCCTGAAAAGGGAAAAAATCAAATGCAGGAATAGGTTTATAATGGAGCAAAGTTTAAAGTGAAATTATTATTATTCATAGATAACATGATACTCTACATGAAAGACCCTATACACTCTACCATAAGACTCCTAGAATTAATAAACAAATGCAGAAAGGTAATTGGATACAAAATCAGCACTTAAAAAGCAATAGCATTCCTATAAACAAACAACAAATACACTGAGAAAGAAATTAAGGAAACCATACCTTTCGCTATAGATAGCATCCAAAAATTTGAAATAGGAATCAATGTAACAAAAGAAGTAAAGGATCTGTACAGTGAAAACTACAGAACTCTGAAGAAAGAGATTGAAGAAGATTTGAGAAAATGGAAAGATATTCCTTGCACATGGATAGGAAGAACCAACATTGTGAAAATGATCATACTACCAAAATTTTTGTGCACATTCAAAGCAATTCCAATTAAAATACCATTAGCATACCTCACACATCTAGAGAAAACCTTCCTAAAATTCATCCGGAAGTAGAAGAAACCCAGAATAGCAAAAGTAATCCTGGACAACAAAGATAAGGCAGGTGGCATCACAACCCCTGACTTGAAATTATATTACAAAGCTCGTGTGATAAAGTCAACATGATACTGGCTAAAAAACAGACCTAAGGATCAATGGAACAGACTGGAAGAAGCAGCCACAGCCAGAGACACACTCAGCCACCTGATCTTTGACAAAGCAAATTTTTCCACAAGAAGTAATACACACTCAGATAACTTGTTCCACAACAGAAAACTATTAATATTTTAAAAATTACAGTACTGTAATGTAATACAAAATGATAAAGAAAAAGAACAAGCTAACTTGCACTTAACTTTGAAAACTTTTGTGGCTGTTGTGAGGGAGTCAAGAGAGAGGAGAGTTATCGTGTATAATGACTCTCACTGTCACTAATGCTGTGTATTGGCTCAGTGGAATCTTTTCTTTTTTGTGCAGCTTTAGCAACAAACTTATCCAATGACACTTGCTTTTGCATCCTTTTGAGGATTTTGTGGAAGTGTGACATTCCCTTGTTGTTGAACAGATTCTTTGCTTGTAATGCTACATCTTAATTGGTGGGGGTGCTTTATTACAAAATCTTGCAGCTTCCCCTATTCTTCACAATCTCTCTAATCTCATGTGAAGTGAGATTAGCTGCTCCTGTGTAGCTGCTATCTGCTCCTTAACCTCGTACTGTTGGGAGATGATCACCCACTGACCCACAGAAAGAGAGAAAAAGAGAGAGAAAAGAAAAAAGAACTATTGGCTCCATTATGATCATGGGACGTTCAGCTTCATGTACTACTATTGTAAAGCATTGCACATTTATGAAGTTAAAATTTATTAGAAATGTTTATTAGAAACGAACACTGTCAGAACAAATTACTCAAATCCAAGGTTTTATGGCATATATTTTATGTATTTCTAATCTAACTATTAGCCTACTCTGACTCCAGATCTAGAGGTACAGAAAGAGGTACATGGAAGAGTGGAGGTGGCAACTCAACCTGTGAAGCTAAATTAACCCTTGAGTCACAGAAACATCCTTTGTTTTATATATATATATATATATATATATATATATATATATGTATAGAGAGAGAGAGAGAGAGAGAGAGAGAGAGAAAGAGACAGAGAGACAGAGAGAGAGTTTTAAATCAAACAATGGAGTTGAACCATTATACTGTCTATTGATATATACATTGCCACAAGAGTATCAGTCTGAAAAAATTGTTATTCTCTCATATCTTCTGTGAGTGATGAAATCAGCCACAGTGCATATAGGTCTGCAGAAAACGCTGAGTAAGGTACAGATAAGCATGGAATCTCAGAGCAACCTTGACAGGGGACAGTCTGCTTCCCAGGCTGTGCATGTGTGTAGGGTGATCCATTTCCTCCTGGGCTTCTGCACTCGGCACTTCAGACTGTACGTAGAAGCTTCCTTGGCTGCTAGCAAGGCTAGCCTCCCTTCAGCACAGCTTGCTTCATTAAAGCCAGAAAGGGATAGAACCAGGCAGTGAGATAGAAGTTATAACGGTATCATATTATTGTGGAAGTGATCATCTTTCACACACTCATTGGCTAGAAGTCGCTGAGAAACTCATACTCAAGAGGAGGTAATTATACTACAACAACGTGAGTATCAATTTAAGGTAATCTAAGTCACCTTGGAGTCTGCTTCTCATGCCCATGTCCCAGCTCTCACTTTCAGTTTCTTTTTAATTAGCTGTGCTAATCTTCCTCGCATGTGAATTTACCTTTGTCTTAATATCAGTTTCTATGTTCTCAAATAATAAAGCCAGAGTTCTACAATTATTTGCACCTTTACTACACTAAAGTTGAGCAGTATCAAATTCAATTAAATAAAAAAACTAATATACTTTTGAGGTATATTTCTTGTGCCCCATTCTGATCTACAATATTTATGATTTATAACATTGACCCCGTTCTAAGACAATTTTTAGTGATTTTTGTGTTAAGAGTGTTTAGACTGAGAGGAAATAAGGATTGTCAGGGAATCTTTAACTGAATAGTAGAAAACCACTGCTGGAAACTGGCCACAAAAATAGAGTAAGTTCCACAATAAACTACTGAACAAATATAACCTCAAATATTATCAGGGCTAAGTTATACATCATAAAAAGGCCCTAGTACTAAGAAAATCCCAATTGCAGAAGTGATAGCATCAAGAATCAACAAACGCCATTATATTGAATGAAAAAACTTCTGCATAATAAGTAAACAAGCCAGTGAGTAATGAGACAACATATAGAATTGGATACACTTTTTGCTAGTTACTCCTCTGACAAAGGTCTAGTATCTAGAACTACAAAGAACTAAAAAAATTAGACCTCACCACCAGCAGGGCACAGTAGTCCATATTTGTGATCCCAGAATTTGGGAGACTGAGGCAGGAGGAATGTTTGAATTTGAGGCCAGCCCAGGCAACATAATGAGTTCAAGCCTGGCCTGAACTACATGGAAACAGATCCTTTCTCAAATAACAAAACAGGAAGTTAGATGCCCTCTCCCAGGAATGCTAGACAGGCTGCATTGAGGAACACTTCATGGATGAAGAATATGTGGTAGTTATATATAATGGAGTACTACTCTGCCATAAAGAAGAATGAACTTGTGTCATTTGTAGGAGAATGAACTCAGCTTGATACCATAATATTAAGTGAAATAAATCAGACACAGAAGTTTATATATCACATTGTTTCTCTTAATATGAGAAACCAAAATATAAATAAAGAGCAAAATAAAATATAGATCATAGGAAATAGGGAGATAGTTCTTTTCCAAAGGAGGAGACCTTTTGAAAAGATGGAAAGAAAAGGTTAGAGGTGGAGGAAGCGCTGAAAAATGAATGAAGATGTGCTGTGTCCTTGGGCCAACTCCTCCTGAGAAATGTACTCCTTACTCACTGCAAACATGCACTAATGAAAACAGAAAAAGTCAAAGAAAGAAAGGAAAAAAAGAAACTACTAAAAATAAGCCTAAAGATTTGAAGAAAAATTAAAGTTCTGTCTTACAGCCTACTGGTTAAAGCTTATTTGTATTATTGATATTTATTTTCATTAGAAGTAACATATGAATAGTTGCTTATCTAAAGCTGTTTATAGTTTTTCTTGAAATTTTCCCACTTATTTATTTACATCCAGGCTTTCTATATAGCAATATAGAGGAAACAGTTGAAAATACATTTTTTCACAAAGGAAAGTATTATGTGTATAAAATAAGAGGTTTTGTGAAATTAGGAAAATCCAGATTTAGCAGTTTAGCTAAATTGACAGCTAGATTAATGGAAAATATTCATCTTTGGAGAGTTCACAATGGTGGTAATTATTTTATCACAGGCATTGCACTCTGGAGGAGAGAGTGAACAGAGACAGGAAGCTCTGTAACATGAGAATGGTTCCTCATAGTTTAGGCCAGCAAGACTCCAAGGTGTCAGGGTGCCATAGAGAGCCACATGCAACCTTACGTTACATACCACAGTTCCTCCTCTACTACCTTCTCATTACCAGAATCAGAGATCTGCATGGCGGCTGGTGACACGGATGTTGAAATCTTGAACTTTACAGCCAATAAAAGCAATTGGGGGAAATATGTGACACTGACAGTGTAACAGAAGATGCACTCCCCAACTAGTATACTTCAGTTTGTTAGTTGCCCAGGTAATAGTTCCCGTTACA